GAAATATTAAAGTTGTGTGATCGTTTAAGAGATGAAGATTTACCAAACCTCGGGGTTAAACTGGAGGACCAGGAGGGTAAGCTCGATTTAACCGAGAAAATTCATTCCAGTTCCCTCCAGCTTTAATCTAACGAGGGGTTTCGAGTACAACTGTGCAAGTGCTATTTCTATAAAATACTATTATATATATTTATAAAACCATTGTTTTTTTTTATTTCCCAGCCGATTTTCTCTTCCTTTTTAGAAAGCCAGTCATCTGTAATAAAGTTTGTCGATCCGGAAACATTAAGAAAAGAAAGACAACAGCAACTGGAGGTATTAGGTTATTTCTGTCTAAAACACTGATAATGAACACTTGTTTGTTCATTTTTTCACCTTCTTACGTTTGGTAGGAGATAGAAAAAAAGAAAAAAGAGAAGGAAGAAATGAAAAGAAGGCAAGAAGAGGAAAAGGTTGGTACGCATGCGTGACAATAAGCCTCCGTTTGCAAACATAGCCATTCCGTTCTTGAACTTAGAAACTAAAAAAATAATTAAAAACTGCTTGAAAGTCGAAAACCCACTTTAGCATCATCATCATGATTCACAATTGGTCTGAACTCACTTACAGGGATTATATTTAAAACGATGCGTTTTTGTTTTAGGCTGCTAAGTTAGCCAAGGCTCAAGTGCCCCCGTCAGAAATGTTTAAACACGAAACTGATAAATATTCAGCTTTCGATGAACAGGTGAGATAAAATGAAACCTTATTATAGTATAAGCTAAACACAACCCGTACGCGTCAAGAACATTCAGAGTTACCGTTGTTTTGTATTTCGGAAAAATACTCAGTCATTGTGATGATCACTTTTATCTCGTAAATAACACAGCCCCGGTCAAACGAGAGTTAATGAGAGTTGAGTGAAGAATTGTTACAGGAGACATTTGAAGAATAGCTACCCAACGTCGCCAACTCTCGTGCACTCTCATGGTTTGATCCGGGCTTTACTCCCTTTACTATTACATTCAACATTGATTTGTGGGCCACGGGTGAGTGATCTTTGTCCCAATGTATTTATTCAACGATTGTACTAGCCTGCGTGCAGGCCCATGAAAGACATGTGGGAAAATACATTTTATATTGCCATAGCTTTGTACGTTTATAACCGTGTTAAATGGTGCTTTGCGTCTTTGTTTTAGGGCATCCCCACTCATGATAATACTGGAGAAGCAATCAGCGCGAAGCAAATCAAGAAGTTGAAGAAATTATATCAACAACAAGAGAAACTATATAATACAGTGGGGCCTGGGGCCGGTAAATAACACACTTCTGACGTGGATTAATACAGTCAGGCTTCTTATAGGAACTTCTGAAAATAATATGACCAAGACCCTCAATCATACAATTACACAATTATAATTAACAAATTATTGGAAATTATTTTGGACCGAAAATGCGTTGATTCAAATACTGATATTTTTAAAAAGTTCAGATTTTTATTTACACTTCTAATTTTACAAGAAACCCCATTAGGTCTTTTTTCCCGGTAATGATTTACTATAACCATAACTTTTTATTCCGAGCCACTCAAATATTTTCACTGACTATGAAGACAATTTGCCGATAAATCCAAAAACAATTTGCCGAGTCAAGCAGACATTTGCCTGATGAATGGGGGGTGTTACACCCCCAGCAGCCCCTCTGGCTACGCCCCTGTCTCAGTGCTCCGGAAAGTGTACCAACCGTACCAGTAAGAGCACAACTCTAAACTTTTAAATAATTGTAGTTGTATATACTTTAATAATCAACAAAGTTTACATCATTATTATTATTGTGTTATTTTGTCGCACTACAATACAGTGTTTCTCGTTAGAATTTTCACGTTTTTATTTCATTGTTTCCTTAATCTAAGAATTAACAGGCTGGCATATTTGGACTTTTTAGAGGCTATAGGGTTAGGTTTGTTTAGGCTTCTCACATGTGCGAGTCAGTTTGTATTAATGTTCATAGTACTTGACAAAGATATTTCTTCTTGATTCTTCCTTTATTTTATGCCATTCTACCATGTTACTTGAAGTTGGTCTTGTTGGCCCAATTATCAACTTGTTCTGACGCCACATGAACAAATATTTTGCAACCCTGTCACCATAGCTACTGATAGAATTGCTGATAAAACGCTGGAGTAGATCATCAAGTCTATTAGCTTTATATGCTTTCTGCAGCATCTTTTTCGACATGCCCATTGTGTTCCCAGGTGACTGAAGAAGAGAAGGGTCCTCGGCTAAAGACACATCTGTTCGTATAGCTTGATAGAGTCCGAGCAATATTTGCAGTGCAGTATAACCTTCTCTTGAAATAACATTCCCGTGGTATTCAGAAATATTTGCAAAGCCAAATTGCCACCAGATAGGGTTAGTAGAAGCTGGGAAGAGGTCTTCATAACAGATATGAAATAATTGATGAACCTCAGAATCTGCTGGTAGACAGTTAGGTTTGTGCCGTCGCCAGTGAGCAGTCTGACATCCAACTGAACAGTATGTGTTTATCTTACAACGACTACATCTTTTCATACTCTCGTCCTCCTTCGTACAACGAAAACACGACATTGTTACTAGTAGATATTAAACGAATGAGTAGAAAAACCGATTGTCCGCACTGATTGTTTTGCTTACTTCCTGATTGATGAGTACTTCGTGTCGGAGCAAGCCTGGGCCGAGCGAGAAGAAAAAAAAAGTGACTTTCGCTTTTGACAATGGCTATATCTACTAAGCTTTGACAATATGTACTAAGGTCTAAGTAGTTTACACGGAAAATATTAGTAGAAGATTTGAGGATAGTATGACCGCATTAGTGAACTAGATTACCTAAAATGTGGTAATGCTGCCTTTTCGGCACAACCTCCAGCGTGGCAATTGATAAAACTAGAATAGTGAAGCGAATAGTGCGAATAGTGCGAATAGTCGACGAATAGTGCGAATAGTCGACGAATAGTGCGAATAGTCCGCGAATAGTCGACGAATAGTGCGAATAGTCCGCGAATAGTCGACGAATAGTACGAATAGTCCGCGAATAGTCGACGAATAGTGCGAATAGTCGACGAATAGTACGAATAGTCGACGAATAGTGCGAATAGTCGACGAATAGTACGAATAGTCGACGAATAGTGCAATAGAGACTTTGCAAGGCTTTCCACCGTGCTGTAGAACTAAATTTACCGAAGCGGGGCGGGGGGGGGGGGCTCTATTGACAAACATGAAATCGTGAAAACATTCGTTGATGTCAATGACGTCATACGTAATCGGTAAAAATTACGGGACCACTGAGTTTTAACAAATATTTAACAGGAAGTAGAATGACAATCACTAGAATGACGTTTTCCACTGGGCGAATTTGTTCGCGCGAAGCGACAAGTAAAAGAGTAGGAACTCTTCCACAGGGCCGTGCCAACCGGTTTCTGGTTGGGGGGGAGGGTGGTGTATTCCAAAATTTGGGCCCCCTTCCACTCCAGGCCCCCCCCCCAACTTTTTCCGGAAAGCATAAATTTTTCCGGAGAATGTTGGCCCCCCATACCCCCCAGTTGGCACAGCCCTGCTGATCCAACTTTTTCGCGGCGAATTTTTTCGCTAACCAATCACATTGCCGAAATTTGGTTTTCGCTTTCGCGCGAACAAATTCGCCCAAAAACGGGCTTAATAAATAATAAATCGATACCTTCTCTTGTTTCGTGATGTAAATCACGTTTTCCAAGCACACGAAATCACTTAAGCCCTTAAATCTTCAGTTACAACGTTATAACATACAAGTAAAATTCCTATAAAATTCCATCAGTAAAATTCATGACTCATACGGTTACCTTCAGGAATGATGATCAATAAAAAATATGAATGACGATAACTGAATTTTAGTCTAAAGCTAGAATATTAAAATGTTTAGTATCGAAGTTACCTTTGTTTTATATTTTATTAAAATACTCAGTGGTTCCCGAAATTTTTACCGGTTACGTATGACGTCATGACGTACGTCAACGAATGTTTTCACAATTTCATGTTTGTCAATAGAGCCGCCTCCGGTAAATTTAGTTCTACAGCACTGCTGCAAAGCCTTGCAAAGTCTCTATTGCACTATTCGTCGACTATTCGTACTATTCGTCGCCTATTCGCGGACTATTCGTACTATTCGCTTCACTATTCTAGTTTTATCAATTGCCCTGCTCTGGACGATTATTGCAGAGTCTGTAAATGTTGTTTTAAACAGCAATTCTGCAATTTTAGCAATTCGGCAATTTTAGTAAAATTGTGCATGTTTCATCGCAAAACCTGTTCAAACCGTCACAAAGAAAACAATCTTTCGGAATTGCCATGGGCGTACCGGAAGGAAAAATTTAGGGGGGCGGCAAGAAATTTGCCCGACTTTTCCGGATTTTGCCCGACAAGTACCGAAAAAATTTTTCCGGAATTTGGTTTGGCGACATACCATTATTGTCCGGAACAGGGAAATTTCACAAAATTTTCCGCAAAATTTACAGAATTTGTCCCATTTATTTTTTTAATTAACCAAAATTGCC